TTTTTTATACGCAATTGTTTGTTGGCATCACAATGATCAAAATTTATTTTCATACTTCTAGGCTTAATGCGTAACATTGCCAGAGCACGATGCGAATCAGGCTATTTTGGAGTACGAAAATGAAGAGGCTGCGTGAAAAGCGAGCACTGCTGTCAAAGTGTCCAATCAAAGCAATCTCAGAGTTTCCTCAGGCCAGCTATGCATCTTACTTGAAGTGAACTACAACAGACCAGTTAGATGATTTAGAGCGACGAATTATAGTGAGTGTATGGGGTGTGATCAAACTACGTTTTGTTGGCACACAAGTTTCGAACTGTCCGTGCGAGAGGCGTCGCTCGTTTGACATTGGAAACGGCAAATGCATTAAGCACGTTTCAGAAGTGTCCCGAGCGCAGCTTAAAGCTGGTGATGTATCATTGCGGCACAACGTTTGAAACCATTGCACACTGTGTGTGCTGATGGTGCTGCAAATCATACAAGATAATCATGCAAGATAGCCTTCTCAAACTCATTTCAACGCCAGCCATCTCCATGACGATATCAACGGTGGAAAATGCCGACTTGACTCCGTCTTGCTATGACCTAAACCTACACCAAGCTGCACTGGATGAGGAATGCAAGCCTACCACCGGGTCACCAAAACTCTCAAAACTATAGCGCCGAAAGCGAAACGCCAAGTTTTCACTAATGATGCGTTATTTGAAACATCGTAAGTGTCATTGATATGCTGTCAGTGCACCAATGTAAACTCATGCTCTATGCATTTCATTGGGACACAAAACCAGACCAGTGCCCAACGTCTGTTGAAGCTCAGATGATTTGAACTATAGGATTAACTGCAAAAGAAAATACTTCATCAGGCTCGCTTACCTCCTGCCCAAAACATCATACAATGCAGGCGAGCTTCTTTTGTATGGAATCAGATTTTTGGTCAATGCTGTCAGCTTAATGCGATGCCGGTGTAGCGCATGCATATAGATCAGACTGTTGATTAACAGTGAACATGGTGCGGTGTGGTCGAAGGTACAAATGGAAACAAAGTGAAAAAGCCTGTAAAATAAGCCGCTAATGTGCGGAAAACATAATGTTAACACGCGCTTGGGTGAGTGTCAAATTGTCAACCAAAGATTCTTACGGAATTATTTCCAAACGGCGCAGTGTAGCTGCGCCAAATTTTGCATAGCTGTAGACAATTGAAAACCGGATTGTCTGGCATCAACGATTTAGATATACCTTGTAAGGTCGCTGGCCTATGGCAGCTCAAATTCAGGCCATGGTTTCAGCCAAGGCAATTTCTAGGGAATCGTTCAATCTGATCCAACAACGGGATATTAGACGAGGCCATACATCTCTGAAATACTTTCTTGGCAACATAACAATCGAATGAACAATTCACCTAGGGTCAGGTATGAAGGTCAGACCAGGGCCAATACCAATCTATTTTATTACTCCAAGGCTTGCTGCATGAGGTAGTTTCTGGTATTCATTTCAAATTCATTGATAACAGTAACCGCATTATATACCTTTCATTGACTTCTTAAAAGCCATAATAGTTCGCCGACCTAAAATGACTCCTGTCAACATCCTGTTTTTTTAAGCACATACTGCCTACCATAATCTTTGTCGCTTTTTCCTACGCATGTGTGACCTGTGTGGCCACAATGGCCTTTATTTTGGTCACCATGACCTTTCGAAAGTCATGGTGACCAAACTCATACAAGACCGCTTTGATTTTTTTAGTTCCATAAGTGTCAACGATTGCGCTAGGTACTATGTTCCTAACAACAGAACGTTGCCCGGGGACATTTTGAATCAGTGACCTATCCTGAATTTAAAAAAAGCCTATGGAAAATGCATCGGGCGGGTTCCGTTATCAATGAATTCGAAATGAGCACCAGAAACTACTCCATACTGCAAGCTTTAGAATCATACAGCAGGCTAGTGATGACCTTGGCCCGACATTTATACCTGAACCTAGGCCAATGTAATTTGCTCATTCAATTGTAATGTTGGCTAAAAAGCTATCTTAGGGATGTATAGCTACGTCTAACACTCCGTTGTTGCATCAGATTGAACGATTCCATAGAAGTCGTCTTCACTGAATTCGCGGTCATATTTTGACCTGACGTAGATCAGCGACGTTACATGATAATCTAAAATTGTAATACCACACAAACTGATATTCAATTGTCTACAACTAAGCCAAATTTTGTACGGCTACGCCATACCTTTCAAAAAACATTCTGGAAAATCTTTGGGGAGGTGATATTGACTGATTCCCAACCGTGCACGTGTTAAGGGAAAGCAGGATAAATTGGTAGAGACCTTCGACTTTGAGTGAAAATAAGTGTCTTTATGGTATTATTGACCAAACCTATTTTTTGTATTATTTTTGATACTTTACCAATATTATTTTTGACCTCCGCCTCTGGTCTGCAGAGCCACGCCCCTTTTTACATGTCGGAATAATTGTGGGAACTGAGTCACTGAGAGTGACAAAATATCACAGAACAATTAACTTGTAGCATTATCTTTTATAAACCCGCATGGTCGCTTTCAGTTTCAAAGAGCGCCATGCCATCTGTGTGCATGCGTAGAAGAAAAGCACATCCATCCGCCTCAGATGCGCCCGATGGATCGCCCAGACAACTCTTCCAAATGACATGCGCGGCCGGTATGCCGTCCAGCTGCAGCAACACTCGTGCTGCATAGTCCTATTGCACCAACTTTACACCAGCAAGTTACTATCGATTTCCCTCCTTGCCAGCCTCTATCTCGGCCCCGGGAGTGCGGCAAATTGGCTGCAAACTCTGGTCTGCTTTCTAGCCGAGGTTGAGAGCCGGGCAGCTCAGTGGCCCCGGCGGACAGCTACCGGCTCCGGCGCTGTCCGAGACGGCCGACCAATTTGAGAGCTGCCCTGGCCTCCGTCGGCGTACAGAAGCCCGGCCGCGGGCGGCTGGTCCGCGGCCGGGCCTGGCATCCGGCTGGCGCCCGACAGTCCGCGGCCGGGCCTGACATCCGGCTGCCGCCCGACAATCCGCGGCCAAGCCTGACATCCGGCTGCCGTCCGACAGTCCGCGGCCGGGCCTGACATCCGGCTACCGCCCGACAGTCCAAGGCCCGGGCCTGACATCCGGCTGCCACCCGAAAATCCGCTGCCAAGCCTGACATCTGGCTGCCGTCTGACAGTCCGCGGCCGGGCCTGACATCCGGCTGGTGCCCGACAGTCCGCGGCCGGGGCCTGACATCCGGCTGGCGTCCGACAGTCCGCGGCCCGGGCTTGACATCCGGCTGCCGTCCGACAGTCCGCGGCCCAGGCGTGTCGGGCGTGTAACGCGCCCAGCCGTAATTCAGACGACACGCCTGGACCAGACAGGGCCCGACAGGCAACGCTAGACCGGGCCCTGGCGGACAACACCAGACAGGGCCCTGGCGGACAACACCAGACAGGACCCTGGCGGATAACACCAGAGGACCCCGGCGAACAACACCAGACAGGGCTCTGGCGGACAACACCAGACAGGACCCTGGCGAACAACACCAGACGGGACCCTGGTGAACAGAGTTAAAAAGGCCCCTGGCGGGCGGCACCAGACAAGCCCTGGAGAACAACGGACAGGACTGCGGATACCGTTCTGGCAGGCCAGGCAAGGATATACAGACAGAGCCCTGATGAAGGAGGCAAAAGCTGTCAGACATCACTATGATGAAGCTGTCAGGCACCGACCTGATGAAGCTTTCAGGCACCGCCCTGATGAATCGGACAGAAGTTGTCAGACACCACCCCGCGGAAGCGAACTGAAGCTGTCAGACACCGCCCGGCGCATCACACACTGTTGACAGCTGTTCTGAAAATGGAGACGAAAACGGGCCGGACAACACGTGCTGCTGACCAAGAAGCACGCCCAGCCATGGACACCACCTCAGCCACTTGGACAGTACCGTCCGTACATCAACCTGGAAAGCTGGGCAGCAAAAGCTGAAGATTGCAGGGAATCCAGCGGAGTCAGCCAGACAGCGGTCTGACGAATGCGACGGCCTGTTCTGACATCGTTGGACCAGATCCGACATGGCCGCTGCCGTTCCCAATTAGCCGGATTCAATTTAGTGTCGGACCGCCTGCCAGCGTCTTGCATTCGCGATTATAACAAATGTCCTGCTCCAGTGAAGGCTTGGGCGCCGCGAAATTAGGCGATTTGTAACAGGCGGCTAATGAGAGCCGTCTCTTAGCCGAGATGAAATAGCGCTAGAAATTATATTTTACTGATTCTGATGGTCGGGGTATCTGCCTCCCACGGAGGGTGAGTACAGAGGGGGCAGAGCGGTGGGGTGAGAGCCGCCGGCTCTAATCTCCTTCCCCCCACCTGGTGGGAGGGGACGCTGTGGGGGGTCAGAGGGGAAGGAGGCGACAGGTTTCCCCCGACGCCGGCCGATCCGTCACATTCAGACAGCGGCATCTCGTTAGTCGCAGTGCGAACCCGATTTGTTCGCGCGCCTAGTGTTTGCTTCCGGTCCGCTAGCCGGCGGGGGTGGCGTATTTTGAAGGCAGCCCTGGACCGCCGCCAGCCGTCCGCCCAAATATCGTCCAGGCCGAGCAACCCTTTTTATTGTGCCGTCCAGGCATTGTTGGAGAGCTGATGAATCGGGCCCGTATCTGTGGCGGCAGGGTTTTTGCACCCCCTCCCGTCAGCCCCATCTGTCTTAGCGCGGATTCAGCGGCGACAAAAGTTAATTCTCCGCTGAGTGGCGCCGAGATAAGAGCATTATACCCTCTCCCTCGGCTGTGCGCGGATGATTTCACGGTCCGGCCGCGGCCAGCGCTCGCTGTTTGCAGCCTGTGCCGCGTCGCAGTCTCCGCGCAGCGGCCGTGTAGACTGCGCCGCATGACTCCACCTTCGCCGCCCGTATCGAGCGGGCCAGTCAGCTGACTCGCCCCGGCGGCGGCAGGTGGCGGCGGTGGCGGCGGCGGCGGCGGCGGCACTGACGACAGTGGAGTGACGACCGGCGGAGGGGGAGGGCCGCTGCTGGTGCGCGCAGCGCTGCACTCGGTCGGGCGGCCCAATGGCTGGGTGACAGCGACTGTCGCGACTGAGTGTGGCGGCTTGGCAAGCGACGGACACTGACCAAGTGGAGGCACCTCGGCCGGGCAGCACCGGTTCTCGGGACCGGGGACTGGAAACGCCGAAGACAGTGGCGCCCGCGGGAACAATGCACTGACAAGTGACGTTGTTATGGAGTGGGCCTGTGAGAGTGTTCATGGATAATGACTCATAATGCATCGGAAGAGTTCTCACTGATGTGGGCCGATAACTTGGACGAAAACGGTGAGTGGAGAGAGCGCAACACTATATGAAATTATCTGGAGTCGGCATGAAGGCTGATAACCGTGATAACCGTAAATGCACCGTCTGGTACTCTTTTACTTCTTATCGCCATCGTCATTTACTCAGCAGATATGTGATCTGTCAGGTAACGTCACAGCTCTTTGAACAGGGATTAAGCAGGCGGGTCAAGGTTGCCTGGACCTTTTATTCAAGTTTTGAGCTTTTGCAAGCACAAATATACAGTGCAAATGACGTCTAACAGTTTTGAGGAAAAATGTGCCTCACAAGACAGCGGTGTGAAATTTATTTAACCTTCGACGACATAGTGCAACTTAATAAAATGATGCAAACGAATTGCTGAACAGGACTTGGTTTGTCATTGATCAGTTCGACACTTTTCACTGAAATTACAGAAATGCTGCACCGGAACTTTCCTCTGTTAAGCTTGCCGCTTGTAATAAGTGAAAGCCAGCGGACAGAGTTGATGAGAGGGACAGAGTGGAACGGATGGACAGAAAGAGGGGAGAGGAAACAAAGAATTGGAGAGAGAGAGAGAGAGAGAGAGAGAGAGAGAGAGAGAGAGAGAGAGAGAGAGAGAGAGAGAGAGAGAGAGAGAGAGAGAGAGAGAGAGAGAGAGAGAGAGAGAGAGAGAGAGAGAGAGAGAGAGAGAGAGAGAGAGAGAGAGAGAGAGAGAGAGAGAGAGAGAGAGAGAGAGAGAGAGAGAGAGAGAGAGAGAGAGAGAGAGAGAGAGAGAGAGAGAGAGATGCGGTGGGTGGGGAGAAGAGGGCAGGAAACGTCGGTAATTTCCGACGACGTTGGTCAATATAAAGGTAGGTAGCAGCACCCTGCAATCATCCTTTATTTTCACACAAAAGTGATAGAGGGTATATAATGATAGAAATGTGTAGCAGCTTGCGGTGTCTCTTAATCATCAAAATAGTGGGAAGTGTCACAATGCATCTCCGCCTCATTGCGAGTGCACGGGAGATGAACGCATGTGGGATGACGAGGCACCAGCACCACGGGTCCATCCGTCCAAGTTTGTTCTGTCACACCCGTTATGCCTGTAAGACCGGGTGCAGACGGCGACGGGTGCCGGCCAGACCGGGTGCAGATGGCGACGGGTGCCGCCTAGGCCGGGTGCAGACGGGGACGGGTGCCGGCCAGTCCGGGTGCAGACGGCGACGGGTGCCGCCTAGGCCGGGTGCAGATGGCGACGGTTGCCGCCTTGGCCGGGTGCAGACGGGGGCGGGTGCCGGCCAGTCCGGGTGCAGGCGTCTGTGTCGGTCGGACTGGGGGCGGGTGCCGGTCAGGCCGGGTGCAGACGTCTGTGTTGATCGGACTGGGTGCAGGCTGCTGACCAGCTGAAGAGCACGCCGGGTGCCGGCGCGAGGTGAGGGAGGGGTGCCCACCTGCTCTGCTGGCGGCCGGCCGGGTCGCGTGACCACCGGCTCTAACTAACTGCAAACGTGTGCTAACGACAGAAGCCTTTTCTGTTACTCGGCGTAATGCGGCACATAACTCAGCGGAGGGTCCTCACAGAGGGACCAATGCCGCACGCCTAGCCGCCGCCCGATGGCTGTGTTGCGGCCACCGCGACCTTCTGATGCTCCGTGCCAGTGTATGGTTGGCCTACGGTGTTATCCCCCCCCCCCCCCCTTGTAGGTGCAATGGCCGCTTCGTCGTGAGAAGTGCAGTACCTTCTTCGCTACACAATTTCCGCGATTAGATGCAGTAGAAGCGCTGCATGGCTAAGCGATACCCCACGCGCGTTGGGGTGTCACAATGCAACGCATGCGGTGAAATGGAGGTAGGGTCGCGGCCTTGTATTTCGGACAGACTAGTCCTTCCGTGCTTCGCTCCGGTCCGTCTCCCGTAGACCACAGCCTGAAGGGGGCGGGGGGGGGGGGGGGGGGGCCGCGGCCCTGGCCTGATCCTGCGCTGGCGTGATCAGCAATCATTCGTGGCGGCGCGCGTCACTCAGACGGGCCCGGCCGGACTGGCAGCTGCCGGTGCTGAATCAGCGCCAACACGCGCTCACGCCGCGCCAGCGCAGCTTTACATTGCCGCCGCGGCCGGGCAGAACCCGGGGTCGGAGGTCGCACTGCCGCACGCCATGACTTTGGAAGGTGGGGCGGTACTTGCCACGATCAAGCGACCTGCCCTGTTCCGGTATCTGGGGTTCGACTGTCCAGAATGGCCAGTAATCGGGGACGCCCGACGCGCTGACGGCCGGCTGTGGCCACAGCCAGTCTGCTTCCGAACTGTGGCGATCAGTCGGTGAAGCCGTCCGTCCTGAGGTGCGGTGGCCAGTCGGTGAAGCCGTCCGTCCTGAGGTGCGGTGGCCAGTCGGTGAAGCCGCCCCATCCACAGGCTGGTCGACTAGTCTGTGGGTCCGCCTGATCCTGAGGCGGTTCGGCTGGTCTGTGGGTCCGCCTGATCCAGAGGCGAGTCGGTTTGTCTGTGGGTCCGTCTGATCCGGAGGCGGGTCTGCTGGTCTGTGGGATTGGCCTGGTCCTGAAATGGGTTGTTTGTCTGTGGGCGTTTCCCACTCTGGGGTAAGTTTCTGGGTAAAGTTGGTGGGTTTGCGGGTCTGTCTGGGTTCAGTGAGTCATTTGGCCTGCGTGGCGTCGGGATGGGTGGGTCTGTCAAAGATGAGCTGCCCCCGGCTAGCAAGCTTGGCTCACAATGACAGTCCGTCGGCTGCTAGCTGTCTGAGACCAACTCCGTCAACCTGCCTGACTCGAACCAATCTGGATGCGCCGGCGGCGGGTCGGGCGTCAACGCCCCATGGTTTCTCGGGCTGAACCGGATCTGATCCGGGCCAATCGAACGGTCCACACTCCCTGGAGACCACTCCATTTCGCCAAGATCAGAACGGTGTGTATCTTTTCAGGCTGTCCATTTCCATTTCATGTAGAGATGGATTGGATGCCGCTCGACGGCCCGGCGATGTATTGAGCCAGATTTCGGGACGTTTGATTAATCGAATGAGTCTCGCCGCTGGGCCGAAATGACTCGGCACGCGCAGGCTGGGCCCTGCCGAACCTCCTGACATTGGATCGATGCGTGTCGATAGTGTCCGCGCCCTGCCGATCCGCTGGGTCGCGCCCTGATGGATCGCCGTGCAATCTGCCCAATGCCGGAGCGCTGTTTAGCGTTGAAATGGCACGCGCTGTCAGTGCTGCGCATGAATCACCCAGCGCCGCCGGAACTCTCAGCAATACGCAGTGCTCCGGCGCGGGGCGGCCGATCAGGGGCCGTACCGATCGGGGCCGTCACACGGTCTGAACCTCCCAAATCAGGCCATTCGCACAGGAGTCACGTCGGCTTCGTATGGGGTGGCATGACTTGGTCGGAACCGGCGGGGCCTCGGATGATCTGACGCTGTTTCCGAGAGGCAGTTGCTTCGCGCAGAACGTTCCAATGTGGGGACTTGTCGGCGCGCCTGCTCCCCTCCCCCACCGCGCTGCCAGATTGGTCGTTCAAAGATTGCTCCGATGTGCGATACTCTTGGGGAGTTGGAGCCGAGCATGGCAAACGGCTACAGAGCCGAGAAGCCGAGCCGGCCTTTGTCGTCGATGACGCCCAGGCCGGCCCTCCACCGTCACCAGGCACTCCGCCGGTGCTGATGGGGAAATCACACTGACGCCTTCGTGGCCGCTTGCTCTTAAGGCGCCAAGCTCCGATCGATGCGCGTTATTGTCTCGCTTTCAGGACCGTTTCTTGTCCACTGGTACATTTCACGGTAGTTGGCATGTAGGCCAAGTTCTGCTTACCCAGGAGTTGAAGCTGCAATCCCCGACTCTGATTAAAAAGCGAAGCGCAGACAGACGCCGACTGCTACGCCGCACTCGCGATCACCGGCTTCCATAGGCTATCACTACAACACGCCGACTGCTACACCGCACTCGCGATCACCGGCTTTCATAGGCTATCACTACAACACGCCGACTGCTACACCGCACTCGCGATCACCGGCTTCCATAGGCTATCACTACAACACGCCGACTGCTACACACCGCCACTCGCGAATCACCGGCTTCTCATAGGCTAATCACTACAACACCGCCGACTGCTACACCGCCACTCGCGATCCCCGGCTTTCATTAGGCTATCACTTACAACGAACGCCGACTGCTTACACCGGCACCTCGCGATCACCGGCTTCCCATAGGCTATCACTACAACACGCCGCCTGCTACACCGCACTCGCGATCACCGGCTTTCATAGGCTATCACCTACAACACGCCGACTGCTACACCGCACTCGCGATCACCAGACTTTCATAGGCTATCACTACAACACGACGACTGCCTACACCGCACTCGCGATCACCGGCTTTCATAGGCTATCACTACAACACGCCGACTGCTACACCGCACTCGCGATCACCGGCTTCCATAGGCTATCACTACAACACGCCGACTGCTACACCGCACTCGCGCTCACCGGCTTTCATAGGCTATCACTACAACACGCCGACTGCTACACCGCACTCGCGATCACCGGCTTTCATAGGCTATCACTACAACACGCCGACTGCTACACTGCACTCGCGATCACCGGCTTCCATAGGCTATCACTACAACAAGAAAGACCGTCGCTGATGACCTTTGTCCTTACAATCCGTCACAGGTCGCTCTCATTAACAGGTCGCGAAGCAAATTGCGATAGCGAATATTCCCTAGGCATTATTTTGCTGAATTTGTTTGTGTCGAAGCCAGCTTGCGACCTATCACTGCTAACGATAGCATTAGCGTGAACGAAGGGAAAATGCTGTCATTGAGAGGTGCTCTCAATGACAGCTTAAGCACAGCATCATGGTTTTGTCAGGTGATCTCTGGTTGTGAGCCCAGACTTCTTCTGAATCACCGACCACTCAGTCAGTGACCAAGCGGCTGTGGGCATCACCTGCCAAACGGCACCTGCCTCCGCTGTGCCAGACACGGCTGCTGTGTCCGGTCCACTGTGGCCGCCACAGGCGCTGCTGACTGAT